TAATGTTGATTTCCAGTTTATTTTTGCTTATACGTACAACATTTGGCAGCATATCCAACTAAAACTTCACATCATTCTGTTCAGCTAAGAAAAAATATCTTCCTAGTTCACAAAAATATGATTGATGACATATCTTGGATTTTTTTTTAAAAAAAAAAAACCTAAAATATACTGCACCATGATTTTCTTATATAAGGCAACATAAGTATTAAGCAAAAATCAAAGTCTGAGTTTGGGCTATCAAGGAACGCATCCAATTAAGACCAAATTATTATCACATGGAAAACAGATTTGACATCTAGTGGGAAACTAGAAAAAAATTACTCATATGTAAATAATTTTTCTATTTTCCTTATTTTTCATAGCTGAAAACTGAGTGAGACTGTTTAGTGAAAAGATAAGAGTAGGCTTCATTACAAGGACAAAATTTATTAAATAAATATGGCTCATTTATATTTGCCTATTTATAAAATTATCAGGTAGAAATGAAACAGAAAATTATCAGAAGTAACTCAAACAAGTAAGTGCTAAAAATACCTTTGTTAATTGTCTCTGGGTAACCATTAAGTATTAAAAATAATTCGCAAAACCTACATATACTAGCAAAACCCAATGGTCCTGTGCTATAAGGGTTCTTCTGTTTCCTTGACTATTTATATTTTTTAGTTCCAGTTATTATCTTCTCTGCCTATTTTAATATATGAGTATCCCCAAGATACTGTATTTAGTCCTCTGCTTTTTTTAAACTCTATATTACTTTCCTTGCAAGCTTTCAAGTATTCCCATCACGTTAGCTCTTCTTCTTCACCTCCTCATGTATTCTCAAATATGAAGATGCTTAAAGTATAGATTTCAGAGTCTAGAAGATTGGTTGGTTCAGGATCCAGAAGAACTTGCAACTCACCGTTTCTAGGAAACCCAAATATGCAGAGACTGATCACACCCTAATTGAATAAAAATTAACATATCTATGTACACACATGCTATATTTAAAGGTTGCGCATGTTTGTCTTTGTATCACACATATAAAAAATAAAAAATAAAGCAGAAAAGACATAAACGAGTTTTACCACGACTATGTGTTAGGCTTATCACTCACTACATATCAGCTTTAATCAATCACATTTTTAAAAAATATGTCTTTTTATTAATTTCAGAGAGGAAGGGAGAGGGAGAGAGAAGTAGAAATATCAATGATGAGAGAGAATCATTGACTGGCTGCCTCCTGCATGCCCCACACTGGGGATCAAGCCCACAACCCGGGCACGTGCCCTGACTGGAGAATTGAACTGTAATCTCCTGGTTCATAGGTCAGTAATTAACCACCGAACCATGCCAGTCAAGCTTAATCACATTTTTTTAAAGACCTGAATTTATGAATCAACAATCAATAGTTATAAACCTTACTAGTTTGTTCATATTTTCATTGTGGTCTTTAATACATTTATAATAAAAGTTTCCTTGTTTGTCCCGAAGGGCAAAAATGTTTTATCCAGGATTATATCTCATTCATTTCTGTACCCCCAACACTTAACACAGTGCCTGCTACAAAACGTGTGTTGGATAAATTAACCTAGATTGCCTATTAGTGAATAAAGTTATGGTAACTTTTCTATTACTAAGAATTTTAAAAAATGCTATGCTTAACTGTGTAAAAGGACTTAACATATTTTTCAAGAAAAACACAAACCATGTTGAAACTCCTTTTTTTATATTTATAAACCCCATTCCTTCTGGTCAGTCTTTGTCAGTTTGCCTTTGAACTTAAAGTATTGTCAGTTAGCCTTAAACTTCTCCCCTTCTTGTGATGCCAATTTGTTCTTTCCTCAAAAATTCATCATATCATATTCATTGCTCCAGTTCTACATATAAATGCACATATTTGAAAGTTACTCAATATCCAAATACACTAAAATTGTAATTGTTAAGCTAGTTTAAACTAAAAGATAAAGTTGAGGCTTTCATGATTTTCTTAATAGAGGGGGAAAGTGGAGAAAGATGCAAAAGGCTGGCAGGAAACAAATTCAATTTGCTGGTTAAAGACAACATTCAAATAAACAAATACAAAAAAAAAATTTTTTTTTAATCTGCTGGTCTTGCCACAGCACCAGTTAAAAGGTCTTGGATTTTAAATAGTGATGTCTAATATTCAATTGTGAGTCATTTCTATAGCTCACACCAACGCCCTACCAAACATTATGTTCTACCTATACTTCACTTTTAAGGTTACAGTCTTAGAATAGTTTTCTTGGTTGTTTCTTTCACTTTCAAATCTATGTAGTCTAGATGTTCATTCAAGTGCCTGTCATCTGAGAGACAAACAATTGGCTCAGTCCACATGCCATACATGCCTTCCTCGCTGGTTCTGATTTCCATGGAGTTTGGTCTATTTGTGGATTACCTTCCTGACTCACATCCATGTCCCTGCAGGGCGTTGGAGCCTCCACATTCATTATGTAGGGTTAAGGTGACACTGTCTTTGTGGGGCTCAGGGAGAAGAAGGAGTTGGCTCCTCCCACAGGACCTGTATCCAATTGGGGGTACAGATGGATCAGACATTTATTCAGTCTGTCTTAGTTAGATTTCTTCATTTTTATTAGATGATTTTAATCCTGTCTTGTTTTTTTTTGTTGTTGTTGTTGTTTTGCTTATCTACAGACATATGCAAAAAAAAAATAAGACTAGACCACTTTCTTACAGCATATACAAGAATAAACTCAAAATGAATTGAAGACTTAATAGTAAGACTCAAAACCATAAAAATACTATCAGAAAACATAGGCAGTAAAATCTTGGACAATTCTCATAGCAATATTTTTTTTCTGATATATCTCCTTGGGCAAGGGAAGCAAAATAAATAGATAAATAAATAAATGGGACATCAAACTAAAACGTTTTGCACAGTGAAGGAAACCATCAATAAAATGAAAAAGGCAACCCACTGAAATGGAGGACATATTCTCCAATAATACATCTATCTGATAAGGGGTTAGTATTTAACATTGATAAATAACTTTTACAACTCAACACCAAAACAAACAATCCAATTGAAAACTGGATAAAGGATTTGAATAGACACTTCTCCAGAGAAGATATGCACATGGCCAATAGATATATGAAAAGATGTTCAACAGCACTAATCATCAGAGAAAAGTAAATTAACTCTTTATTTTGTGTAGTCACAAATGTAAGCCTATTTTTGACCCACCTGTATGTATGTGTGTGTATATATATATATACTTTCTCTGTTTTCAGGGAGATGAACTAAACTAAAGCTTCTGTGGTTTTCTATCTTCTTAAAAGGATCAGGTATCCTCAAAGGTCCCAAAGGGGCTAACAAGGAAGCATAGAGGCCTTAGTAACAGGTCAACTTGTTTTACTGTCACATCAGCTTATCTTTTATAGGTGCAACCTATCAATTGGCTGCCCTTGACCAACTTAGGTCCTCAGTCTTTTTTTTTTATTCCAAATTACATTTACATTGAAAATTATTTTATATTCGTGTCAGTGTACAGCTTAGAGGTTGGACATTGTTATAATTTGTGAAGTGATCCTCCCAATAAGTCTAGTGTGTACCTGGCACAACACCCAGTCTTCTTAATTAGTGATGCCTGGCCTGAAACGGCCTAACATCACCATGTGCCCGCTCTTCGTCTGGCACCCATCTCTGCCCTGTGCCATCTTCCTCCAAACTGCACCACCAACCACACCAGCTGCCTCTACCCTGATCAATCTGGCAAACAGAAAGAAATGAGCTAAAAAGAAAGCAAGATACACAAATCTGAGGGGGGGGGGGGATCCCAAAACTCTGTGTGGTTATTTAACAAGATACCTTCTAAAAATCCAACTTGCACTGTTTGAATTCATGATTTTATTTATGACATAAAATACAAATAACATATCGTCAGATACATTGACTTCATTAGGAGTTAATATTCTAGTAAATATGTTCTCTTTTCTCTGATTATTTAATTTTAGAAAAATCTATCCTGAAAGAAACAATTTAAATATTATCTGCAAAAAAACACTCTTATTCTCAAGCCACACAGTACATATATGCACTTGCCATCATTGTCTTAGGTATAAGGAAAAGAAATTCTAATATAAACTCGAGACATTCATAGAAAAATAAATATGCTTTCAAAAACTACTCTTAACTGAACTAAATTACTTAAGAACTGTGTTATTTCAGATTATCGAAGCTTCTATCAATACATAGAAATGGCCTTTCAAGAGTTACTTCCTGCACTAACCAATTTGGCTCAGTGGATAGAGCATCAGCCTGTGGACTGAATGTTTCCAGGTTTGATTCCCATCTAGGGCATATACCTTAGTTGCTGGCTCGATCCCCAGTAGGGGGCGTGCAGGAGGCAGCTGATTGTTGTTTCTCTCTCATGGATGTTTCTCTCTATCCCTCTCCCTTCCTCTCTGTAAAATCAATTTAAAAAAAATTTTTTTAAAGAGTTACTTCCTATCTCATCCTATGAGGCCAGTATTACCCCAATACCAAAGCCAGACAAACATACTACAAGGGAAAAAAAACAAAACACTACAGACCAATATCTCTTATGGATAATGATGTAAAAATCCTTATCAAAATACTAGCAAAGAAAATTCAATAACATATTAAAAGAATATACCATCACCAAGTGGGATTTATTTCTGTATTGCAAGGATGGTGCAATGTATGAAAATGTAATTCGCCACATTAACAAAATGAAGGAAAAAAAAAATATGATCTCTATGTAGAAAAAGCATGTGACAAAATTTAATGCCCTTCATGCATATAACACTCAACAAATTTTGGAATTAAAAGGAAACTATATTAACATAAACTATATTAATATAGAAGGAAACTATATTAACATAAGGCCTAGGACATTCAAACCTGAGGATAAAACTTAAGAATTTCTGTACTCATAAATACAATACCATGTTTAGATTAATAACTCACATCAAGGAAACTAGACTCATTAAAAATTCCCATAAGGAGTACTTACCTGCCAAAATTTTCTTGAACTGTTGAAACCATATGTTGCAGTGGTCTTCGCTTAAATTAATAAGATCGAGTGTAGAATCCTTTAACTTATTTCGTTCCTTTTTCAAACAGATGAACAGTGTGATACCCAATAAAGTGCCATTTCCACTAGCAAAATAACGCCGTTTCAGTTTGACAGAGAATATGTCCTTGAGTTCAATAAGTTCTTCCTTACATAGCAAGTCATACTTGGAATCACCTGAAAAGAAATTAAGTTTTCCAATCAAAACCATTGTGTCCAATCTACCATGCATAAATCATAGTTAAAACCTAGAAAATCTTTCTCATTTGTAATCTTACTGATTGTCCTTTATGTCAGTCTCTATATAAGGTGGGAAGGAAAGACAAGAAAAATTGGATCTGTTTTCCCAAGATTTAAAAATAGAAAAATGGAAGACAGTCTCTGACACTCAAGGCCTAGGACATTCAAAACCTGAGGATAAGAACATAAAGCAACATTTCAGCAATAAAAATGGATATGCCACGAGAGTCTCTGTGCTACTAATATGGACAGAGTAGAGTTAGTGGAAAGAACAAAATGCACTAATAAAACTGGGTAACATTTAAAGGAAAGAAAATGTACATTCTAGGTAAAGTAACACAGGCACAAAAGAAGGCAGAGTAAGATTATCGTAATTAGAAAATATGAATCCCTGCTGATTTAAAAAGAAGGTTCCACTGGAATGTTACCACAATCAGACTTTACTTTATAGAGGTTTGAATTTTTATTGTTTAACCACAGATCAGAAAATAATTATTGTAGTAAAGGACCCTTCCAATTGACTCTCAAAGTAGGAGTGTCCTTTTACTTTGCAAAAGTAATTCTAAGCGTCTACTCTGGCCAACATGGAATTGCAGGCACTGATTTTGCCTTCACTCTGGCCACCACCTTCCATCTTCGCTCTGGCCGGAGCCTTCAGTGTTTGCTCCAGCCAGAGCCTTCAGTCACCTTTGCTCCAGGCAGAGCGCCACTCCTGAAGCTCCATCTGCCTCCCACCAGCCCCCTCATAGCAGGCATCCCACCCCACCCTGCTGCTCCAACCCTGCATATGCAAATTAACCCATCACCTTTATTGGCTGGTGGGTTAATTTGCATGCTCACTCCTGATTGGCTGGTGGGCGTTTCTCTTTTATTAGTGTAGATAATGATGAAAACATTCAAATTATATAAGTGACTGATCTAAAGAAATAACACTCATATACATTTTAAATATCACTAATGGAACCATAATGGCATCTAAGTTCAGTTGGAAATACTGAATAAAGGATGATTTAGAACTAGTTAATCTTTAAAAAAAAAAAAAAAGAAAGAAAGAAAAATCAGAGCCCTATATCTTAATGTACACCAATATATCTAGATTAGATAAAACTATGTATAACCATAAGTTAGGGAAGCCCTAAGTATGACAGTATAGGCAGATATACAAAGACTGAGAGACTTCCCATAAAAGTTATTTAATGCCTACAAAGTCCTAGGGACCCATAAATGGAAGTCACAAGCAAAGGTGGCCAACTGGGCAGAAATATGCACAACATATGACAATTAAATAATCTATTTAATCAAGGAAAGAAACACTTTGGTGGGAAAGCACATAAAAGACCCAAGACAGGAATTACACAAAAGAAGAAATGCAAATTGACCAGTGAACATATGAGAAAGTTCAATCTAATTAGTAATCAAAGAAATGCAAATCAACACAACAAGATACCATTTTTTTTTTTCTTTTAGATTGGCACAAGATCAAAAATAATGCTCAGTGATGATTTGGGTAAAGGCAGCCTGTCCCAGTGCTGGTGGGAATGCAATAATGTAACTGCTGGAGAACAAGCTGGAAATAGGTTATCAAAGATTTTAAAATGTTAATTGCAGCAGTATTTATAATAGCAAACGACTTGAAGCAATATTCACGTTCTCCAATAGAAAGATGGTTGAATTAGTCTTCCACAGCTCATAAATGAGCAAATTAGATCTGTGTTCTGATATGGAAAGGTATTCGTGTTAAGAGATATAAATTAGTGGAATAAAAGCAGTTACAAAAAAACCTGAGGGATTTGACCTCACTCCCATTAAAAGTAGAAAAGAAATAAATCCAGTGGAAAACACATAACAAACTTAACATTGGTTACCTATTAAAAGAGAGAAATGCTGTAGAGAGTATGAGATTAATATTTTCTTATAAACTTCCATAATTTTCCCTTTCTATAATCAGCACTATATTCTACTAGAAGCCTGATGCACAAAATTCATGCCAGGGGCTCAGCTCTAACAGCCCCGCCCCCCACCCACTGGTTGTCCTGGAAGGTCATTCTGGAAGGTCATCTAATTAGCATATTAGCTCTTTATTATATAGGATACTTTTTTATAAATGTAGAAAAAAGTAAATGCTTTAAAATATGCATCAATTTTTAAATATATTTTATTGATTTTTCACAGACAGGAAGGGAGAGGGATAGAGAGCTAGAAACATCAATGAGAGAGAATCATCAACCAGCTGCCTCCTGCACACCCCCTACCGAGGAATGTGCCCGCAACCAATGTACATGCCCTTGACCGGAATCAAACCTGGGACTCTTCAGTCCGCAGACCGATGGTCTATAAACTGAGCCAAACCGGTTCCGGCAAAATATGCATCTTTTTTATCTAGTGCAGCGTTTTTCAACCGCTGTTCCGTGGCACACTAGTGTGCCGCGAGATGTTGCCTGGTGTGCCGTAGGTGCAGACAAGACAAGAATTTTATAATTTTTCACTATTTTGTTTACTTAATATTTCATAATAAAGTAATTATAAAATACTTTCTTTGTGTTTATTTGATTCCTATTCAAGAGAATTACTTTATATATAGTCAATATAGGCACAGAGTTAAATTTTTTAACATTTTCTAATGGTGGTGTGCCTCGTGATTTTTTTCATGAAACAAGTGTGCCTTTGCCCAAAAAAGGTTGAAAAACACTGATCTAGTGATTTACTTCCAGCAATTTACTCTAAGAAAATAATGTGCACAATTTAGCTAAGAGGATGCTTACCCAAGCATTATATGAGTGAAACTTGGAAACAACCTAAATGTGCAATAACAGTATTGATTCTGTAAAATAAATATATTCATATAAGAATGCTATTCAGCCATTAAAATGTAGAAATCCGACTTGAAAATTATCTAAAATAGTATAGCACAATTCCATTACAGTTTTGAATATATTTATTGAATACGTAATATATGTGTAATGATTTTCATATGCAGACATACATGAATGTGCATATGAAAAATTGGAAGGATAGTGAGATTATTATATAGTTTGTGTATTTGGATTTAAATTTTTTCTACAAAAATATTTCTGCAATTAGTTGAAAGATTATTTCCTTTGTTCATCCCAAAATAGTTCCTGATATTATTTATTCTAATTTTTAAAAGCCCATTCCCTAAAAAGTAAGAGTAGCTAATATTTAATAAGAATATTCTATATGCCAGACATTGTCCTAAGAACTTTATGTGTATTATCGCATTTAATCCTTAAAACAACCCTATGTAGAAGATGCAATTTCCTAAAAGAAATTCAGAATAGAATTTAAGTAACTTTTCCATGGTCTTACATCTGGTGTGAGGCAGATCCAACATTTAAATCCAGGCACTTTGGCTGGTGTTCACAACTCCTTACCCATGCTGAAGGAGAAATAAGGACCTTCAAGTAAACACACACTCTCTCATCAGACCTTGGCTGTCATCCTGGCTGGTGTGGCTCAGTTGGTTGAGCACTGTCCCATGCACCAAAAGGCCACCAGTTCAATGTCCAATCAGGGCACTTGCCTGGGTTGCAGGCTCAATTCCCAGTATGAGGCCTGTAGGAGGCAGTGGATCCATGTCTCTCTCCCTTCCTCTCTCTCTCTCTAAAATCAATTTTTAAATATGTGTCCATTAACTGAGTAGTATTTCATCAGAAACTGAAGTGTCTTTCAAGGAGATGGAAGGTTAGATTGCAGCAACCAGGAGCTCCCAGAAATAATTCTGAAAATTGTCATAACTCTCTGAAAGGTTACTTCCTGCTTTCCCTGCTCAGGCTTCCAATTGCTTTTTCCTCATTTGCCCACAAATTCAAATTTGGAGTTTTTATATAAATGATCTCTTTGCCAATGTGACAAGAAGAGACAAGAAAGAAAGAAAAGATTTAGAATAAGCATTTTGTTTCTACTTGAAAGGAAAAAAAGGGTAATATATTTATGAATAAAATAGGTATTTTTTTGTTTTTTGTTTTTGTTTTGTTTTGTTTTTTGTTTTTGTTTTTTACCAATTTCTAACTATAGGCAAATGTTCTTCAGGAGCTATATAAATCTCTCAGCTGCCAATTTCCTGTATAACAACACTGATGTGTTATTTATTTCTGCAACGTTAATCATTTCCATTACATGAGTAAATCTGCCCAGTTCTCTCTAATCAAGGGATTCACTTGACTTTCAATATAACTTTTAGAACATGTGAAGACATGGATAACATTAGTTTTAGATAAAATTGTATTCAGGAATAAAGCATGTTCAATCTGTGAACTTGAATTTAAGATGTTTTAATTTAAAGGCTTGGAACTGTCTCGTTGTTGTTTAATCGCTCATCAGATTAGGCGGTGCTTTTCCAGTCTCTGTTTGGTTTGTGAAGTTCCTGACCAGCTGGCTCCGTGGGGCAGCAGGACCTTGGTTTCCTTGACTTGAAAGAGTTCAGACCAAAGGTCCTCAGGTTTCTCGTGGCGAAGCCCTCAGGCTAACCCTCAGTGAAGTGGAAGCTTCTGGAAATCATCTGACAGGATAAACTGCGAATCTAAGAAGGTCACTGTTTCTCCTCATCCCGTGACAAAACACTCACTCTTAGAATACACAAATATCTGTGAGAAATGAGACTGAAGGGGGAAGAAGGGAAAGAAACCACATTAAGAGGGAAGACTGTTGACTATACAAATTGAGCACTTATATACACCCCCTGGTAGCAGTAAGTAGGACTTAGATTCGCTTTCTTCTCCATGTGAATCAGAAAAATACTGCTTTTTATTTACAAGTGATTTTGTTTATAAATGTATAAATGCTGACAAAATGTAGGTCTTATATCTCTGCTTAACTCTTCCCCTGTGAGATAGCTGCTCTGATCCCCTTTTTAGCCACCAGTTATAGCACAACCAGTTTCTGCCACAAATAAAAGCAAATGTTTTCATGATTGTATG